AGACGTGTCACTTAATGATGTGTAATCATAGTGACGATGAAGTGTCAACAGCTTCATTGCAAAAACGAAAATAGAGTATGCTTTTACCCTTCAAAATCACAAAGTTGACCTTCAACTGTTTTGTACTTTGCCACATCTGGAAGTAAACCATCGATTTATGAAAATATGAAGCTTTCAGTAAATAAACAGTACTTATTATTTTGTATTAGTCATAGCCATGCTTTCACAGCGAACATGTGGCAACTACAATATCCCCGCTATCGCTATGCTCCTAGCTTTGTGCTTCACATTCGGTTCGGCTAATATCCCACCACCATATCTTCTAATTATAGTCGACGACTGGCTGTTGCTCTGTTGCCAGTTTATTAACTTGTATACCAGCATGCCTAACATGAAAAAATAAGCACTGTATACATTAATATTTATGGGTTATGTGCAAGTAACCTTTCAATTTTTTAATTTAATGCTATACTGTCATATCAGTTGGTATAAAAAAAAACTATGGAATTATTCTCGGTGAGATTATGGATAGTCTAATTGACAGGTTATTGGACAATTACCGTTTTGTTAGTTGATGTTTAGTGTATCCATTATAACGTATAAACATAAACTTCATTAGATATTAATAATCTAGTTGCTAATTTAAATGCCTTTCCTCGTGACGTTATCGCTATTAATTAATTTTTGCCCAATTTCTGATATAAGTTATAAAACAATATTTCTCTTTGGAATGTTCCAAAAAAATGAAGATAAAAGGTTAGTTGTTGAAGCTTATTTCAGTAGTTAGAATCTGCCGAACCTCGTTAGTTTGTCATAAATTAAAATTCATATGTAGCAGCACAGCACATAACAATACTGCCCTTCAGAGTGATCTAGAGAGTATAAATAAGTGGCATAAGCCATCTCTCATTAAATACCAGCAAATGAAGTTTGTATATGGCGATAATGCTGTAATTCTGAAGACTGTTAACAAGTGGTATGAGCGATTTAAAAGTAAAAAATATTCGAGACGTCCATTAACCTCAAAAACAAAAGAAATCGTGCAAATTGTTCGTTCAAACTATTCAAGAGCTTACCAAAGGCCTTAGCAAAGCATTTACAAATGAGACGAATGAGTGAAAAATTTATTGCCAGTCTTTTGAATACTGAACAGAAAATAAATTGTGTCTCAGTTTGCACTGAAGTTGAAGAATCGTCTTCATACAGATCCAGACTTCATGTCCAAAATTGTATCTGGAGATGAAAGATGGGTCTATAAATATGACCATATTGTGAAATATTTCACATTAGGAAACTATTTTTAAAATCCATCAAACAGCTGCTTATTTGTTTTAGGAAAAACGAATCTAAGAGACATTCAAGAGCACAAGGAAGGAAAACGATATGAAGAATTAGTACAAACCCATGAGCTATTTAAGAGCTGCCAACAAAAATATCAACGATAGCAAAACAGCACCCATTTTATCCCAAGTATTAGAAGTTAAACTTAGGGTGGAAAAAAATTTCTTCATATTAATCTGCTGAGAATTTCTATGCAGAATTCTTTAAATGACGAAGTTCTTCTAAAACCTAAGCCTTTTTAATTTTCTGACAATAATTGAGGATAAATTTGAACATGAAGACTGCGCAGGACTCAAAAAAGAACCATAATGTTTATGATTTCTGCCGTTAATTTCGAGTTTTTTTTTTGTTATATTTTTGTTTCTTTTCTTTTTAAATTTGCTATAATTTCGTTGCGTTTTTTCATCAAAATTTTATAATGAATGAATTTTTAGGTATTCCACATTAGAAATTTATTTTTGAAAACCTAAAAAAAGGGTCTTAATATTTGCCGTTTTAACGAGATTATATTTATATTATTTTGACATGAACTAATCCTTACATTCCTTTATGTGTACAAAAGATCCATATTGAATTTTTTTTAATATAATTAAAATATCCACATTCAATGGCCGACTTTAATTTTCTAATAGTAATTATGTGTCCCTGGTCAAGAAATCCAACCTCACACAATCCATCCCAGTTATTCGCTTTTACAGTAGCTAAAATGCGTTTACGGAATAAATTAACAGAACCGATAATTCAATTCTTTTTGTTCCATGAACGCGTTTTAATTACTGTGCATGCATTACCATAAGATAGAATCAGTCCAGAATTACTTTTGTGAACAAAACTAATATCATTATCGAGATCAAAATAAATCTATTATTTAAAATAATTGATATTTTGGATTAATCTATTAAGACCCAACTAACTTTTTTCTTAGGTTAGAAAACAATTTTTCATTCGAAGTAATACAAGACGTCATTTTAAATTTCTATCTCTAAATGTCAACAAATATGTAACACGATGAATTTAATAAAACGTATGTCTCGAATTAGCACGGTTGCAAATTCGCGCCAGTACATTTTTAAATCCTTGTAAATTTTTCCTGAAATAATTAGGGCAAAAATAAAAGAGTGTATTTTGCGTTTTAGCTTTGAAATACTATAAAAAATGGTGGAAAGTCCATAAACTTTTAAATATCACTTATCAAAATATTATGCATTAAAAGTAAAACAAACCATACGACTGTCTATACTCTGAACCTACTTTTAAAAACAAATTTCTAAAAATATTATCGTTCAGAGCTGTATTTTTTGTGATAAAAAAGTCGCCGTCACTTGTCATTGGTAACATGTTGAACTTGGACTTAATCAAGAAATTGATTATTTTTGATTAATCGTTAAATAATCGGATTATCGATTATTAGATTAATCGATATCATTTAATTTATTTTTAATCTTCTATTCGATTGTTATTAATTTATTGATTATTAATAAATAATATCTAATTCAATATATTAATAAGAAAATCAAATGATCGTTTTATAATATCGAATTAACGATAGAACTGGGCGATTATCAAAATAAATAATCAATTATTTTAGATTAATAGATAATTGATTATTTTCGAATATTCAATTAATCGATTATTTTTAACTAATCGATTATCGATTTTTCTAAAAAACTTCGCGATTCGCGATCAAAATAAATAATCTATTATTTAAAATAATTGATTATTTTGGATTAATCCATTATTCAAGAGATTCATTATTTTTCATTAGTTATTTTCAAAGAATCAATAGAAAATCAATTATTTTTTTTTAATCGTTTAACAATCGGATTATCAATTATTAGATTAATCGATATATATCAATATTATTCAATTTATTTTTAATATTATATTCGATTGTTATTAATGTATTGATTATAAATAATATCTATTTCAATTACATATGAATAAGGTAATCAAATGATCGTATTATCGAATTATCGATAGAACTTGGGCGATTATGAAGATAAATAATCGATTATTTTTGATTAATTGATAATAATTAATTAGTTTCAATAATAATATAATAATAATAATACTCTCCCTAATTCACCCCCTTACGAGTGAATTTCAACCCCTGAAGTCGACTGAACGACTTGTGTAGGGGAAGGGACGGCTATTATTATTATTTGCCGTGGCGCTCCGGGGCGACTTAAAGATGATTGATGGTGCCATTTGACTTACAGGTGAGGAAAACCCGGAAAACCTCACCCACCATCATCGAGACGGTAATGTATGGCGAATTTTTTTTAATCTGCATGTCATATCAACAGAAATTTTTAATTTCTATTAATACGCCACACATCAAATCCTAAACCGAACCATGCAATTTAATTAAAAATCCACATGGTCTGGTCTGGGATTCGAAACCCAGCAGTCTCAGACAGAATGAATCGGTTATTCTCGATTATTCAATTAATCGATTATTTTCAACCAATCAATTATCGATTTTTCTAAAAAAAACCTTCTAGATTAATCGATTATTTTGCCCACCACTAGTTATAACATAATGTTATATGTCCCCCCAATAGGGATTCTATAAGTAAAAAGGTAAATTTACTACAAATTGTAGATTTTAAAGGTTAAATATATAGGCCAGTAAGTAGAGACATACAAATATAAAATTTAACATTAATTCTAACATTTTTTAAACTACGTGGTAATATAAAATACCGAATGAATCGAAACTTGGTGATTTTGCAACTCAATACAGGGTCGGTAACATTGTCAAAAATGGCAAAAAACGAAATTAATGAATATTATCTAAAGCTGAATATGCAGCCACTTATGAATCCGGCAAAGTAATTAATTGCTGTTAATTAACATTATTATTACATGATTCATTTTTGACCGTCCAGCAATCCATTAATTTGGTTTTTTGCCATTTTTAACAATGTTGTCGACCCTGTATCGAGTCGCAAAATCGGCTAATTTCGATTTATTTGGTACTTTATCTTACCACGAAGTTTAAAAAATGTTAGAATTAATGTTAAATTTTTCACTTGCTCATTTGCCTAATATGATTGTCATGATTCCTAATGCAGATTTTATGCTAATGTCAGTTTTTTTACCTGGAATGGAAACTGAATTTCGTGATATATAGTACTTATTTTTTCGTGTTAGGCATACGACCAGTATATAAATTAATGAAATGGCAACAGCCAGTCGTCGACTAGAATTAAAAAATATGGTGGTGAGATATTAGCCGAACCGAATGTCAGTTACAAAGCCAGAAAGAATGGCGAAAGCGGGGATATCATAGTTGCCACATGATGGCTATGAAAGCACGAGTATGCCTAATACAAAATAATAAGTACTATACAATAGAGTTTATAAAATATCATGTAAATGTGTGCCCTTTATGAAGAAAATAATAATTTTTTTCAATAAAATGTCGTTATTCTGAAAATTTACCTTAAAAAAAGAAAATCTGTTAGAATTGGAAAGACAAGATTATCTTTTTTACGGAACAGGAAGATAAGTATATTGAGTAAAAAAAATCAACACTAAAGCTAAATCACCACTGGAGCAATAATGCCACCTTATTAAAAAATAAGATTTGTAACCATAAGAAAATTAACATAATTCTCTTTATACACAAATACACATTTAAAACATAATTTTAGCCCTAATTGAACGACGTCTGCCAAAGCACTTCTTGTAAATTTTCGATAGGAACTTCAGTATCCTCTTCTGGGTTAAACATGTCTGGTATGGGAGGATGGCAATGCATATATGGCCACTTGACGATATTGCCATTCATCGTCCAACATACGGCCTGGCACTTTTCAGGCGTGCGACTGTTCTTGCAGTACCAGAATGCTTTGCCCTTGTATACGCTTTTTTTGTAAAAGACGTACCCGTCAACAATTAACCGCGGACATCCGCGTTTGCCCAAGATGCACTGGATCGTACCTGCGTTAAAATAATACACAATGTTAGGAATTTGACAAAAACCACATGCTTTAATATTGTTTTATCTATGCATCTACCTATAATTTATAGTTTTTTTTTTAGAATTTTTCGGCAAGAGTATTTATTACACGTTTCAAATATATGCAGTATAAAACATACTGAAATGAAATAAAACCCAATTACAAAAAAAAAATCTTTAAAAGTAAAAGATTTATTTTTATAAATGCAATGGTGGTAATATGAAAGTAAAATACGTGTTAAAACTTCACTATTATTTCTATGAAACTATAAAATTTGATTAAAAACATTTTGTTCACATTAATAATTAGTCCTACACCTTAAAATATATATATATATATTTTTTACCCAAAAATGTTAGTAGGATGACGCAGACTTTTTCAACCATTTTGAAAATTTTGTCTTGTTATACCAGATTTTAATTCTAAAAAAAATTATAACCTAAATGGATCAAACAATTTTCGCTACAGAAAAGAGTCCGGGAAGGTATTTGAACTTATTATTTAAATTATTTCCAAAAATTAGTCGATTTTTATTTAGATGGGAATACCCACAATATTTAAGTAGAAAATTGACTTTCACCCTAAAAATTTCAAATTGAAACAGTGGTTAAGTGATAATTCATAGTTGGAATTTGAACCAATACATTTAGAGAAGAGCATTTTTAAATGCAGGCGTTTCAATCTCTTTTTATAAATAGTTAAAAACTTTTTAATAATATTTTTTTTAAGATAAAATTTTAAGAATTTTACATTACTTTTACTTGTAGTTTAGTTTCTTATAATTTATAGGGAGAAAAATACCATCAAAGTACTTTGTAACATATGTTTTTTCGATGACCATATTATTTTTTAATGTTATAGTGAATCGACAATACATTTGCCAATTCAAATCATACAATATTTCATGAAGTACATATCTAAAACCGGCAAAAGATAATTATTGCGTGGGCAATATATTTATCGAGAGATATATTATTTTTGAACTTTAAATGTAAATAAACGTTCTGGATAATATTGTTAATCTAATGCAATTAGATAACTACGATTCACTAGTGGATGTGAAACCGTTTTTGAATAAAGAGTTTTCTGATCAGTTGAATCACATATATTTGAACAATGCTTTTATTTTTGTATGGCGGGTATTTTAAACATGTAATTTGTTAATATGCCAATTGCCTACTTTAAAACAAAGCGATTTTCAAAATTTACAGACGCGATATGCAGGATTGAAAACTTCTGTAATAAGAAAATTATAAAAATTATAGGGTTGAACCCATGTTTAAGTTTAATATGTTAAGTTAAGGTCCACATGAGGTGATATGCATCAATATTATCTAATTTAAACAATGATAAAGCGACAATTTGTGCCGGAATACAGTACTTAGTGTGTGTATGCTCCCGTACATTAATGCTATACGTTTTTATTTTTATTTATGGTGAAAGTCATTCCCACTTAAATATTTAAATGTGTACTATAAATGTATTCAGCATCTCTTTCAAGAATAACAATCAGCCGGACTATTTTTTCATAAATCGATTAAAAAGTTTAAAAATGTGGGTGGAATCAGTAGTTATTACAATAAAAACGTTTGAATCATTTTAAAATATTTTTTACATCTTGGTTTTTATTCAGTCACAATTTTAAAATTATGTGTCAATTTTTTGAAAACTATTTTATAATTTTTTCGCTCCCTTTGTTTTCTTTTTATTTGCACACTATAAAATGAATTGATTATTTCGTCATTCTTAATATATTTGTCATGTACTCGTAGTTGATAATTGACTTCGATTTTTTAATCAACCAATGTTTCTTTTCTACACCAAAGCAATCTTTCTTATTTTCTTTTTTATTTCGATATTAGTTTAAATACATCAACAATAATTCGACTCAAGAAAATTATTCAATGTAACTAAGTTAATTGTAATAGAGAAACTTAATATGAAAATAACTTTCATGCAAAGAAAATACTATAAATCACTTATATAAATATATGTTCAAATAGATATAAAATAAAACAAGCACATGGTTTTTGTGCCGAACAACTAAAAATACCACTAATCATTTTCTATATGGCATCTACGCATGCACTACATTATACCACATATCTAAATGTCATTCTATTTAAAAGGGTAATTATTTTCAACATAGTTTTAATATAAATTTATATTTGCATTCAGTTTTGTTTAACTTAAGAAAAACTAAATTCTTTTAATCTATCTGGTCTTTTCTGAAAATTATGTAGTTGATTTTACAGTAAAAAGTTATATCTCCAAATACAGCACTTATTGTTTCATCTCTGGCATAGTCATAATTTGAAAGAAACATAACGAACCTTCTTTCACATTGTATCTTCTTTCCTACCTTCAAGTTCTATACGAAGCACGGTCCATCGACTGCGCTGTTGCCAATTATATCCCTTTAAATTATAACCTCATGCCAGACAAGGAAAAATAAGTACTGTAAATAAATATTTTGCCATATATTATTTGGAAGAGGTATTTAAAGTTAAAATTGTGTATTATTTTAATGCATAAAGCATAATTTATTAAAATAAACCTTAATTTTTTATTAGGTGTTAAAGGAATTAAGTATCTAAAATTTGTTTCACACGTACTTATAGATTTTCATGACATTATTTGAGACAAATTTGTTTATTTCGTTTTAATCCTAAGGCCAATGTACAGATTTGTGACATATTCTTATGGCTAAATTACTTATTATTAAAGTGTAGTATGATACGTGTCCAATGAATTCACGAAAATGTGACGTTCAGACCGGGGCGTTAAGGTAACTATAGGCATTACAATTGGTACGTGCCTCCCAAAAACTTGACTTATTTTCTTAACATTTTTGTTATGCTTAGTCGACGGTAAGTACTCACCTACAAGATATATTAAACCCTCTACTAATTTCCATGGGTCAATTTTCTCTCTCCAACGTTTTAAGGTAGTGCGTGAGTGGGCATGCGCCTGACTTATTTTCTTATGGCTGAATTAGGGTTTATTTTCAAGATTTGTTATGCGTTTCACACAATTCTTTTCCTCCACCAATTTTGCTAGACCATTTTTTCTATCCGACGTTTTGATGTGGTGCGAGAGTGGACATGGCATGACTTATTTTCAAAAAATGGACGTTTGCTCCAGAGCAACATATATACATTTTCGATGAATTAATATTCATTAAAAATATTGGGCCGGTTTTGGTGTCCAACAAAAATAACTAATTAAAAAAAATATTAATGATTAAATATAAAAACGCAATAACTTGACAAATTATTTGTCTAAATGGTTGAAAATAATTACTGCCATTTTTGAGGTCGCTGAAAACGAATTTATTGTCAGAATTTACCGATTTTTAAATTTGCATTATAATGGAATATAATTGTATAAATATGTCTAGTAGATTAGTACAATGTTAATATTTGTTTAAAGTTGAAAAGATACCAATACCAGATTGAGACTCTTGGAGTCTCAATACTTTCTGAGACTCCAACGCTTATTACAATTCAAAATAGATGGCAATGTGTTACAACTAAATGAGTTAAATGCTGCCATTTCTATTCCATTTTGTTTATTTAGCATATTAAGCATTTGAAACATTTTAAAATAGGGGTAAATTTTAATTTATATGATCAGGATATACCTATATAGATAAAATATTTTATTAGGACGTAATTATTTAAATTTTACTAAATTTGGTTTTTCATTTTCAAAAAGGTAAGCTATAAGATAAAATTGCATAATTTCATCATTTTTTTTTTTAATATTTACCTTACTACAAATATTTTTCCATATGTAATTCCTATAGGAAAAATAATAGTTTCTTCTTGTGTTAAAAATACAATTTTTTGATAGATGTCTGGAAATAAGAGGGTTTATTTCAATTAGGCATTCCAACGACCTGTCAAACAATAGCTGCCAGTGGGTAGGGGTCGTAAAATTGAGGCTGCCAAGCCTGTCAATTTATGAAAAATGTATAGCGTTTTTTTTTAAATATATTCATTGTGTTCGACAAAAAATATTTAAATTTTGTAGTTAGAATACATCTTATGTCTCAACCCTTAGATCTACCAGTCCTTCCCACCCACATTTATTATGTTTGGAATGCCTAATTAGAAATTCCAACAACTTGTCAAATTGTTTCCCGTGGGTAATGACATCTAGTAACCCTGTGGGTCTGTTGTCTTTGACAGGGTCAATGACTAGATATAGTTATATAGATTGCTCAAAGCGGGTCGTTTTGCGAGCGTCCATATTGTAATATTATATTATTAAAAATAATAATACGAATGCAAGTAATGAGTATTTTATTTGACAGCGTTCACAACTGACTTCTAACAACATTCTCTTGTTTAAGCCTGCTGCTACATCTCCCTTTACAAAACACAATAAGAATGCAATGTAGCTAAATAAACTATCTAAATCTCAACTAAGGTACAAGCTAGAACAAAATCAGATAAGGTAACTAAACTAACTTCACTAGTATACCTATCTAAATTTAAACTCAGGTAAAAGCTAATTTTTAGCTAAATTTCTTCAATTAGCCTCTTCGGCTTTCTTGTACTTCTAATCGGCCGTGCCTTTGTTTCATTTTCGCCCTGTGGATGTGGCTCATCTAATGTGACATCGGGAAGTTCAGCGTTGCTGGTGTTTTCATCTTCCGCAGGTTCTGGGGTACTAACTGGAGTGAGTGTGATCTTATTTGTTATTTCTGCGGAGGACTTTCGAAGATGTTTGGTGTTTCTTGTCAGTATTTGACCTTTATTAGTTTCTACTATAAATGATCTTGGTTGCGTTCGTCCCTTTATTATTTTTCCTCCTATCCAATCTTTAGAACCTTGTTGTACCATAACTTTGTCCCCTTCCATAATATTTTCTCTTGTTTTTGATTGTCTGTCAAAGTAATGTTTTTGCTTCTTTCTTAAATTTTTTAACTCTTGATGAACTTTAGTCTGAATTTTAGGTTCAAGGACTTTATCA